CAAGCAAACTTGCATAAAAGAGAAAGGAAGAAAAGAGAAGAGAATGCTGGAAAAGAAAAGCTGAGCTTGTATTGAATGAATTAAATGATTTACACAAAGTACAAGGGGTTATTTATAGCCAATTTTTCTCAAATATTTCTCCCCAAAACATTTCCTTCCAAAACATTTGGGAGTGAGCTAAAATTTCCAACAGCTCATTTGGGAGGGAAAACTAAAATTTCCAACAACTCAATACATCAAAAGAGTGGGTTTGGTGAGCCGACACCCTCTTGGGCCCCCTGGTGGGTCTGGGCCCTGCACAGGCTGTGCCTAAACGCTGGCGGGCTCGTGCACAGAGGCCCTGCGCAGGCAGTCTGTTTGGGCGCTGTACTGGCCTGCGTGTTGCGCCAGTGCCGAACCATCCTGCGTGCTGCGCACTTGCGTGCCGCGCACCCTTGTTGGGCCGACGAGCCCGGGCCTGCATATCATGGGCCCATGCTCTGCGCCCGACGTGTCGCGCACCCCTGCTAGGTCGGCAACCCCGGGCCTGCGTGCCGCGTCTTGTCACGGGGTCATTACTCTCTCCCCCATAAACGCGCTTATAGGGGTGTGCAACACACCCGCTTATAAAGAGCCCAAGACCTTCCGTTCCTGTCTGATGTGGGATAGAGGCACTTTCCTCTTGACACTCTCTCCCACCCGATTCCAACAACGTCCTCGTTGCCGTCGACCACCCTGCCTACCCTGAGCCCCCCTGGGCTTGGGCGCTTTGACGTGAGTCAGACGAGGTCCGGTCTGCTCTGATACCACTTGTCACGGGGTCATTACTCTCTCCCCCTTAGGGGCTCAGAGTAGGCAGGGTGGCCGACGGCAACGAAGACGTTGCCAGAATCGGGTGGGAAAGAGTGTCACGAGAAAAGTACCTCTATCCCACATCAGACAGGAACGGGAGGTCCTGGGCTCTTTATAAGTGGGTGTGCTGCACACCCCTATAAGCGCGTTTATGGGGGAGAGAGTAATGACCCCATGATATAAGGACTAAGAAGATGAACACTTTCTTCTGTTTTTTCCTATGAATTTATGTAATTATTTATTAGAGAAAATAACTCATAAAATAATTACAAATTTCATATCACTCAAATGGTTATACTTTTGTGATTGATTTATAGTGAGCTATAATCTTAGAATGTGTACATTTTGTTTTATGATATAATTATTAATTATAAAGTAATTAAAATGCAATAAATTACTTTATATTTTATTATAAGTTAATTATTTACTTCATCTTATAAGGTATAATGAGGCCTACAACCAAGAAAAACCAAAAATTGATGGCCACCACAAAATAAAACCATACTAAAGCAAATTACCTATATTTGACAATACAACCCAATGAAAAACAAGCAAAGAAAAATTAAGGATGGGAACTAGAGATACTAAGATGTTTTATATTAAGATGCTCTTTGGTTGTTGCTTTTTCTAGTCTCTTTTTGGTTCCAAAAGCAACACACAAAACACATGTTTGAATACTTAAGCAAATTATATTTTTGAGTTAAAGAGAAATTAAAATTGTAAATATTTTAGAGAAGCAAAAGCATGATTCTAATTGTCGAAAAACCAGAATTGCTGTTGCATTTTTATTTTACTTATTTATTAATTTTCAAGTATTATTTTTGATTTCACATTTTATAACTTGCTTTCACATTAGCAACCTTTAAGAGTCGAAAGCAAAGAGCAAAAACCAACTAACAAAAGCAACAACCAAACAGAGCCCTAAATTTTTTATTTTTCTATTTTGAGCTACAACATGCTTCTCAAAATGTTACATAATTGGAAGCAAAGTCATTAATACTGAAATAAAAAATAAATGTAAAATGTATACTCCATTGGGTTGTTGATTTTGCTATTAGTGTTTTGCTTCTCGAAGCAAAAGGAAAAATACACATTTGGGTATAAAAGCAAAAAATTGGTATTACATTTAAGCTATTTGTTCATTTTTAATCAATTATAATTTTGTTGTCTAGCAACTTTAGGAAGTAAATGCAAATAACAAGTGCAACAATCAAAAAAGCCTAGTAAATGAGAACAACATTTTTAGCCTGACCACAACTGATGAAATAAACATGTTAGTGAACATGGACAAAAAATTCAATATGAGAAGATCAATAGAAAAGGCGAATCCACATACCATAATCTTGGGTCATTTGGCATTTTAGACAGCCGGACCTTGATAAGTTCAACAGCGGCTGCTTTCTTCTCTAATTGGCTGTTTAATCATGCCAAATCTCACATGAGATTGAAAAACATAACAAAGAGTTCCAAAAAGAAACCAGAGGTATGGATTAACACAAACAAGAAAATCTTCACTCAGAAAAGAGATGCTATAGTTCATCATACCAGTAGCAGTATATTAGATTATCCCACAACTCTAAATCCTCAAAGATTTTAAGCGCCTCTCCGATCAAGCCACAGCTAACTAATATGTTACCATATTGCCTAAAATCATGAGGATAAAGGAGAAAAAGTGAATAATGGAACACTGTGAGAAATTGTTAAAACAACTAGCTCTAAATAAAGGTGCATATACAGAGTTGGTAAATATGATACAATTTAATGAAAAAATAAAAATATAAACCATCGTGAATCTTTTGAGAACATAGAAAATAGTTTTACTTCCGAAGAGCAGGAATCGTTGGGATATAAACAGCATAACAAAAAGGAAGCCTCAGCGGAACCCCAATGGAAGGCTTATGAATACTTTCAACCTGAAATAACCCAAGATATATTTTTTAATGAAACATAGCTCCAAATTGAAAAGGAATCCTAACATACTAGAATTGAAAAACTTGATGCACATAGAATAGACATGAAAAAAGAAAAGACAAAGATAAAAGAAACATCATCTTATAGACACCAAAAGTTAACAGAAGCAATGGATATCAGAAGCACTCTTCTCCGATGTCATTAAAAGCAACTCATGAGACAAGTGGCATGCTTACGTAGTCAACCCAATGTTTAAAATGACATCAAACTTTTTCATTCATCACAATATTTTTAAGTAGTGTATGGTATAAATTGATATGAAAACTTGATAAGTGTGTACTGTAAATTAAAATATTATATTCAATAGTAATATGAATAAAATTACTTAGACATTGTAATTATATATATATATATATAATTACAAACAAGTAATTAAAGCAAAGCAAAAGCATGGATATAATATTACAAAGCCACACTATATTTTTTAAAAAAGGCCAGGAAAGCACGCTCCTTACCAAGTTATCCATCATCTGTAGAGCACGCTCCTTTGTGCGACTGCGAGTTGACTCCCAACGAATCCGTAATATGTCACAGAAACACTGTAACTGAAAAAGTACAAAGCATGTGGCAATCAAAAATTTTAAGATCATATTCAATGGTAACCAACCTTCTGCACTGAAGAAAACTAATAGTTCATTACAGATCATTCAGATGGTTGTTAAAACATCTTTCTTCAGCTCAAACCCCATTATCTTTTTACCATCTTGAGTAACTTTAGATTGCAAATTCCATTATGGCATACTTAATTTAGAGGAAGCCCCACTCATAAAGCACAAAAATTTCTAGAAATATGGCTCCATATTCACTAAAGTTCTCAATATTAAAGATTCAATTGTCTCAAACAAACTTGTCGATACTATTCTTTGACACATGTAACTAGATACTTTTGCCTTAATCTGCTTACAATGAAGTATGATGATTGCTGAGAATCAATTGCCTCTATATACGGAGCCATATCCCAACCTGAAACAGAAATTGAGCAGTAAATTGCTACATAATCATTCTCAATATCTGCGTACAAAATTCCACAAACTGTACATCAATTGAAACGTAACAATAAAGTGTTGTTTCTCATATGGGTACAACTTCTCTATTCTGAAGAGATGAAGGTGAGTGAAACTGGACACTCAAAGCATAACTTCTTTAAAAGTTTAAAATCAGCTTATCAAAGCTATAAGCTGAAGGTTCTAAGGAAAGAAGAAATATAAGAGACAGACAAGTCAATAAACAGATAAACAAATAAACGGTGTTCTTAATCATTTCACATAATTTCAATTTGACAACCCTTTTCAAAAATTTCAAAAAGCAGTACTTCATTGAAACCCCAACCAAGCCAAACAGGCTAAAATTTGAGAAGATAAAGGAAACTGAAGAGAAAGAGTTAATTTATTAATTTGAAATAAGGTCAGGTTTGTGGTTGAATAATTTAAGGGTGTCCAGGAACTGGAAAGAAAAAAGAGCTTGGGAATAGTAGCTAAGGTTTTAGCATTAAGATGTTGTTTTGCAGGTTATATATCTAACGTTTGAACAAGAAAATGCATTAATTATAACATCGTGGAATAAATATAAAATATGCAATATGAGAGTTATATGGTACCTAATGAACACAATATTCATACAGTTATAACCTTGTCCTTGCTTAGATAACAATGTTAAGCCCAGATATTGTCCTTGTTTTACTGAAAGAAAGCATCCACCTTCAATTCCAATTCATACCTAATGATAACAAACACTTTAGAGATTTTATTTTAGTGAAGACTCCCTTAGAGGATAATAGGGCCTTAGCAAAAGATATGTAATCTCATGTCTCAAAATAAATAAATACATAAGTGCAGAGAAAACCAAAAGCAATGCTCATACCAGCAGAAGGCCCAGTCCAGATATCTTTGACCATCTTACCTTGCATTTCATCATGTGGACTACTCTTTTCGATTAGGAGGCATTGTGCTAAAACCACTGCCTGCTGGACTGCTGTTAATGTGGCACAAGCACCACCACATGCATTGCTTCCAAAATCATTACCATCCTCTACCAGCTTTGGGGTCATAAATATGTCAGAGGCTTCACTGATGCTTGGATCAGACAACTCTATGCCAGGACCTATGGAGGTGCAGATATCACCTTTTACAGATTCCGATCTTGGGTTTGCAACCAATACCATTTGCGCCTTCGGTCCTACCTATGGCAAAATGAATCCTAATACTAAGAATAACTGAACAAGAATTCACAATAAAAGCATTATTAAGACCTTTCAATATTTACCTGATGTACAGTACGTAAGCCAAGAACACCAGTAACTGAGAGCTGAAGCCCAGTTGCCACTTCAGCTGACTCCAAATGTAGCCTGACATGAACAAAATGACCTCAATGGATAAAATAAGCTAGAAAACAAAACCATCTAATGTACCAGTTGGAACTTCAGGTTATGTATTAAAAAATCATGGTTTGGAGAATTAAAAATAATTTGTGCTAATGAGAAAAATTGAAAAGCATAAAACCAAAAAAAAAATAAGGGTATTTAGTAACAACTTCAAGGAGCATGAGTATCATCTCTTTGAGTGAGAATATTAGGCTCTCAAAAAAAACTTCTTGTTACTGAATAAGCATTTTACCCTCTTCATATTTCACACATGGCATAAAATGTAGACACTCAAAATAAATATTTTAAGCAACTACCATGCCTCAAGGAAAGGTAAGGTCTACTAGGTATAAACTGTTAAACATAATTTTTGGTTCAATAATAGCATAAATACATACTGCCATGCAAAAGACGTGACTTGGAAAATAGTAATCTCTCACATTGTGAAGTATGCAACAAAAGAATCAAATAAAATGCAATTAATTGCTGGACAAGAATGTCTTGACATGGTAGGAAAAACAAGGAAGACAATCTTCTCCAGATGTGTGCATGCATAGCTCCATGCATGTATGTACAATTCATAAAGATCCGATCAAAATATATATAAATATTCCTATCAATTATTATCAGTATCTTTCCAAATAAAAACAATGTCTGTGATAAGCCTATCCAATAGGAAATGTTTCCTTGAAACTCACCTACATGGATCAAGTCGGGCATAAATGTATTCTAGCACCCCTGCTTCTAAATGAACCATTGAAGCAATAGTAGATGCCTCCCCATCTTGCAATTGAGAACCCCAATAACTTGTCACTTTTTCCAAACTTCCAAAATGACTTAATGTTTCACCCATAAATACTTGCAATAAATCAAAAAGAGAAGAAGACCGCTCATCCAAAATTCGTTGGTGAATAAGCAAAATTCTAAATAGCCACCATGAAATGCTTTTGATTCCAAATGTGGACACAACACTTGCTTCAAATAATAGATCTCTTGTCTTCAGGAGCAACATTTTAGCAAAAATTATGTACTGCAAAGCAGAAAAGACTATCTTAAATAAATTTAAAGAACTCAAAGCGTTCAATCAAAACAAGAACATCATGCAAAATGACAGAACTAGACCTTCAAACCAAAAGCATTTAAAAAGCAGATTTCAAATTCATATAGAAAAGTTAACATTACCATATACAACAATAAAGAGTTGAAAATGTAGGCAATATTAAACTCTGATCAAGCTTACCTAGAAAGACAATTCACTTCTATAACATATGATTAATTAAGAGCTGTTTGGTGGGCCTAATTGGAGCTCCACAAAAAAGTGCAATTGAAGTAGAGTTTTTAAGGAAGTTCTATCAAATTATAATTACTCATTACTTGATTAACTGTAAATATCTTTTGTTTATTTAAAAATTTTAACTTGTCTATCATCTTCTCATCACAACTTATTTTGAACAAGGTCTGTCAAGACCATACCAGTGAGTATACCAGTATCACTCTGAAAACAGTTCATATTGGTACCAATGTGTTTCTACTTATTGTTTTGGATATAGCGATAGTCTAAAATACTTTTTCTTTTACACACACACACACACACACAAACAATTTAAAAAAGTAATGTTCCAAAAACTTCAAATCAAATAAATGAGACTAACTCCATTATATTAAAAATCCAAATAAAAAATACAAGTCATCATCAAACAAGCATATAAACTAGAAATAATGTTTAAGATGATCTTTACTTCATTCATATTGATCAAAGTGACCCAAAGTCATCATTTAAACTGACCCAGTCCAAAGAACAATAATAATAAAACACTCACCCATCAAAAAACCTAAAAAAACCTAGCATGAAATATCCTGTAAAAATATTGTTGTCTCTTTGCACGGCTTTTACTCTTCTTCCTGCTCACCTTTCTTCTCTTTTTGCTTCTCTCTTTCTCTGGTCTTTATTCTTCGACTTTCCTTTATTTTATTTTCTACCATTTTTTCCTTTGATTCCTTGTTGTTTGTTTCTACTTTAAAGAAATTTATGCAAATAAATTTGAAAAGGAAGTCAACAACAAATTGATGAGGAACATCAGAACCTATACAACATATGTGCTTAAACTCATTTACCAGGCCTATGGAAACAAATCAAAGACAGTTTTCTATAAAAGGGAAGACAACTTGTTCTCCAGGCAGGAAAAGACGGGATAGTCTGGTATTGAACAGTACCCAGGCCAAAATGAACAAACAATTAAATGTACTAGTTTGAGGAAAAAAGAGATACTGGCCAGTACCAGCAGCCAATTTTCTATCTTTCCAATTCTCCTCACACTATTTTACTACTATTCCCGTTGCTAAATAGAGATAAAGAGCAAATTTAAATAGATGTGAACAGCATTGTAAATTTGCAACACTCGATTGGCATCTCTTCCATTTTCTCTTCCCTAATCTGTCCAATTTGAGAGAGCTAATATTCATTAGCATGGATAAAAACAGCAATCACTTCTAGTTTCTCTACTCTCACTCTTTTTCCTTAATGAGTATGAGCAAAGAAAATAACCCACCCCTTTTCCATCATCCCACTTCCATATCCTACCAAGCAAAACCTTATTCACAATTTGGATATTGTTCTCCTACCAGCTTTCTAGTATTTGGTTTTTTAAAGAAAAAAAAAAGAGTAAACAGCTTTAGAAAAGGTCAATTCAAATATAATTATTGAGATAAAAAAAATTCACCTAGGTTTTAATTCTACAAACTTCATTCTCTTTTACTTTTAGATCCAAAAGTAAATTCTCGCTCATTGCCTAGAAAAGCAAACAGTAAAAGTAACAAGAAGGAAAAAAAATGAACAATTTTTATATTTCATTAATTGAAAGGCCCCTCCATGAATTGGAAAAGAAAAAAATCACCTGAAGATAAGAGAACTTGCCAAGCAAGTCAGAGCCAGCAGCCATGAGCTGATTCCTCGCCCAATTCTCCCACTCCACCATTTCACTTTCTTCCAACCTCGCTTTGATTGGCAGAGGATGCTTCAGTAAACTCTCCACCGGCCTAATTTAGAATTCAATATTTATTAAGAAAATATATTTTAAACATCATTCAGTCATCACATTACATCTTGCTTTTTGTTAATTTTTTTTAACATACTCCAAAGCCGTTAAATGGAAGTACTAGTACAAAAGTAAAATCATTCACAATTAAAAACAAACAAACAAACAAACAAACAAACAAACAACCAAAATAGCATATAAATTCTATCATATTTCTGACATTAAAGTAAAATAATATAATTTCTTTTCAAATTTTATAAAATATATTTTAAATTCTAATTTTTACAAATATTGTACAATTCTATATGAAAACTAACTTTTCATAATTCTTTTTCCAAGAGTGAATGGAAAATTAACAAAAGGTAACAAGCAAAGTGTATTAATCATTTTTACGTTTTAAAAAAGAATTGAAGGTCTTACCCAGTCAAATTGCACTGAGTGAACCAGAACAAAGCGGCTACAGCAACGCACACAACAAGAACAACCCTGCAAGCTTTTTCCGCATCCTCAATTGAAGGTTCGTTGATAAAGGATTCAACTCGGTCCAGTAAATCGGAGTAGGCTAGGTCAGGCGTGTCAGAAAGGAGGTCGGAGTCGGGCGAGGCAAGGACGAGTCGTGCAGCGTCGGAGGAAAGGGCTCCGAGGTAGTCCCCAGACTCGATGGAAGTGAGGATGTTGGAGATGAAGGCGTAGAGAGGAGAAGGAGAGTCGTCGGAAGCTAAGGATTGGGAGGAAGGAGAAGGATTGGAAGGTGGTGGACGTAGGGCGCAGCGCAGGAGTCGTAGCTCATGACCGCGAAGGATTTGTATTTCGTATTCGGCCATGTTGATGTTGATGGAGGTACCAGGGAAAGTGAACAACGAGGCTATTTTACTTGGGGTTTTAAGGGTTTGAGAAATTATTATAATAATAAAATGGAAAAGGTCAAGAATCATTCACCAGGAAGAAGGCGGGAAGAAAATGAGCGATCCAACAAAACGACGTAGTTTTGGTCTCCTATAAAACTTTAACCTAACCTTAAAAGCCTATCCCTTTCTCCTTACATAAGTTTTGCTCTCCTCTTCTTCTCCCGCTAAGGACTAGCCCTAACAGCCAGCCCCTTTCTCTCAACCCTATCTCCCTTCCTCGGTCGCCTTCGCCGGCCTAGGCCTTTCCGCCGGCGGCTCCCTCTTTTCTTCCCTGTCCTCTTTTCTTCTTTTTTCTCTTCCCCTTCCTTCTGCCGCCAGTTTCCTCTCTCTATAAAAAAGCCTAGACGCCGTTCTTCTTCTCGGGGTGCAAGGTCTCCTCTCATAAGACCGTACAAATACGTCCAAATTTATCCTGTCCGTATCATCCATTAAATCAGGTAACTTTAATTCAATAATTCTCATTGAACTTTAGTTTTGTTTGTATTTTTTCTGCATTCATGTTTCGTTCTTCTGCAATAAGTGATCTTAAAAATAAATAATCTTTGCTGAATTGAATCTGGAATTGATTTATTTTGTATTTAATGTGCTATTTTAGATAGGGGTGTATTCAATTCTTCCAAAAGGTGTTAGATATAGTTGTAATGAGCGGTGGTCATTGGTGATTTGGAAGGGATTAGATGGATTCTAGCTTCACATTATTGGATTATGTGTTTTTGGGAGTAAAGACTGTTTTTTCTCTGGAGTGGTGTTTGCTTCCTTGCGAAGATGATATGAAGGGGGATTGCTGCATGTGCGAGTGTTTTCTTTCTTGTTGCATCGGAAAAGAAAATGAACTGACTGAATTTAATCAAGCCAGAGCCCATGTTGGTTTTAGTTTGTATTTTGTTTTCTTACTGGTGAAAGGTTTTTTTGTGTTGGTGTTAGCGTATATGGGTTCTAAATCAGTTGAGGACATGATAGGGGCCTCGTCTGGGGTCTATTTCTCTGGATTCTATGTGGATGGTTTTGGGTGTAGAAATATTGAGAAATATTTGTGGTTTCCACTCAAATGCTGAAGAAATCTTGTTCCTAAAATGATGAGTTGGAATAAATTAATCTTTTCGAAAGGTAATAAAATCATATCCCACACCCTTCCTAAAGTAGTCAAAACTTCATTTATTCTTTTGATCTATATTCTAGTCTTGTGATTGAGTTGAGGTGTAAAGCCTTTGGCGTTAAATGCTAACATTATATGTGACAATATTCAAGTTTTAAGAAAGATGAAATTCGATTGAATACATCTTTTAGTTTTAAGAAAAATGGTTTGAAATTTATTAATTTCTTTTATAAACTTAAACTGATGAACAAGGTTAGTAAGTTAAACCAAAACCAGGGAGGTAAGGACACGAGAGAGAGTTTAAACAAGAGTCCAATTTTTTTTATTAATTAAATACTAACAAAGACAATATTAAATTAATTAAATAGTATTTTACCTTAATTAAATTATTTTGAAACCCAAAATTCTTGTACTCCCGAACCCTCGATCTTTCTACATGATGAGGACACTGCCCGTCCTGCCCAATTCTTGATAGTGGTTTATTGTCTTTTTCTTGTTAAAAATAACTTTCTTTTTTTAATTTAATTTTCTTTTTAGTGTAATTCCCGCTACAACCTCACTGGCTACTGAAACCATACATATAGAATCTTTTGTTATCAGTAAGTTTGAACAAGGGAAATTTTGTTGAACTATTACTCACATTGTGTTTTCCATGATGTGGATTTTCTTTTGATTTTTGTTCTATGTGATCTTGTTTTGGGTTTTCTTCTTAGGCGTATGTCATTATTTTTCATTTTGTTTATGATGGTTAACATGCTTCTTCATTAATTTTTTATTTTTGATTGTCTTTGTGAAATTGTCTTTGTGAATTTCATTTTTGTTTTGTTCATAACAGTATTTCTCTAAAAAAAATTGATCATAATTAAATAAAGCTCAAAACAACATCATTTTGAGCCTTAAGGACCTAAAAAAAAAAATTCTTGCAAGAGGAGTCAAAACTACATCCTTTTTGTTTCCAATTACAACATTTAAAAAAGTCTAGATTTATATATAGTTATAGATTATAGATTAAGGTAAATTTAGTTTTTCAATCTAAATTCTAACAGTTTGTCACACTCAAACCCAAACCAGCGGCAACTGAAGGCTCCGTCTCATTTCTTCAAAGAGCTGGGTGCTTCTTTTATCTTCCTTCTCATTTCTTTCCTAGCTATGTCCCGGGCTGCTACGCCTCTGGAAAGTCTTAACATCAATCTTCTTCCAAAGTTTATCTGGGAGGTCTCAACATCAATCTTCTTCCCAAGTTTATATTTTAGTTGTAATGTCTGCTCATATTTCTATGCCAATATATTTTACCAATTATGTCAGAATAATTCAAGTGGGTTTCGCAATTTTCTATTACTAATATTTGATGTTTGAAGTGGGTTTGGCAATTTTGTTGGAATAATTATAAAAAAAGAAGCAGCATATTTGATTTAGTGTATGTTTGGCTTGGCTTTTTTTCAGCTGATCTACCTCTTAAAAGCAGAAGTCAAACAGTATTTTAAGAAAGCTCTTAAAAAAACAACTTTTTTTAAAAAAAAAAAAATTTAAAAAAAAAAGAGTTTAAAGAAAACTCTAGAGAGGAGCTTTCTCTTCCCTTCTTTTAAAAACACACTAATTTTTTAGAAAATACCCCTTTCAATCAATCTCCGTCTCCTGTCCCTCTCTCTGCAAGTCACCTTTCTCCAACGCAAAATCACAATCTCCCTTTTTTCTCTATCTCTCTCTACAAAAGACAACTAAAAAAAATAGAAGACCTAGCAACAGAATAGCAAAATCTAAGATTTTTTTGTTCTTACAAAGATTAAAAGAAAAGAAAATCCAAAATTTAAAGCTGCATTCAGGTACTATTTAAAGGTTTTCTCTCTTCTACACTAAAAAATTTAATACTATACAACTTTCAAAGTTGCTCTGTTTTTAAATGGATTTCTTTGAATTTAAACATTTGAAATCATATGTAAACTCGAAGTAGACTTGTTGCACTTTGGTTTATTAAATGATTGAAAATGGCATAGATATCCGTTATGGTAAATTTTAACCAAAATTAGAACTTATATAATATATTTTGCCAAACAGCTATTATTTTTCATAAGAGCTTCATAATAGCTTTTAAATTAAAAAAAAGTTAGGCCAAATAGGCTCTTAAAGTAAACGATTCTGATTTCTTGATCAAGTTTTAGCTCGGTTTGATATCATCTCCTTTGCACACAAGTAGAGCTTGCTGGCTTGACTAATGTGATTGTTGTTTTACTTGCAAGTTTACCGGTTTGATATTGCGTAATTATAGGTTTGAGGAAGGAAAAAATGGTTTTGCTTATGGCTAAAAAAAGTTTTTAATTATGGTGAAATTTTCACAGGGTGGGTTGTTTAGATGTGAATTTATTTACATTGATTTTCCTGCCCCTTTGTTGCATATCAGCGGCATATTTTGCTTCCGAGTTCAGGAATTTTGTTATGATTATAACCTCAATATCATTTTTTCTTTTCATTGTTTTAGAAATGGTTGGAGAATCTTTGCCAGAGTTCAATGGGCTGAAAGGTGTTCTGCAGCCATTACTCAGTGCATCAAATTCATCTTCACTAAAAGAAGCCCTTGAGATTCTTATCAAAGTTTCTAGGACTGCTGCAGGCCGTGCAGAACTTGCTTTAAGGAATATCCTTCCAACAGTCCTTAAGCTTGTTGAATCTCTCCATCACACATCAAGTCGTGAATATCTCATGAATTCTCTGAAGCTTCTTAGGAACCTATGTGCAGGAGAAGTCGCCAATCAGAATGCATTTTTTGAACAAAATGGAGTTGAAGTTGTTTTGAGTGTTATGAGGTCTGCAGCACTTCTTTCTAATCCAGATTCTGGGGTTATTCGTGTCAGCCTGCAAGTTCTGGCAAATGTTTCATTAGCTGGAGAAGACCATCAGCAGGCTATTTGGCTTAAGTTCTTCCCGAATGAGTTTTCTGTGCTAGCGAGAGTTCGAAGTCAAGAGACTAATGATCCTTTGTGTATGATTTTATATACCTGTTGTGATAAAAGGCCTGGACTGGTTGCTGAGCTATGTAGAGATATGGGGTTGCCTATTGTAGTGGGTATAATAAGGACTGTTGCTTCAGGTACAGACGTTTAGCCTTTGGTTTTTGAGTTTTCATTACTTTGTTCCTAACTTCGTTTTCAACAGATTTAGATATAACAACTGCTAACTCTAAAGCTTCCCTTTCTATTTTCTTTTGTTACCATATCAGTGGGTTTTGGAGAAGATTGGCTTAAGTTACTTCTCTCAAGATTATTTTTGGAAGATATTCACTTTCCTCTGGTGTTCTCTAAATCATGTGAAGGCAGTTCCTTCGATAATAGTGGAAATACTGCTTCTGGGGATGATCTTTTTTCGTCAGAGCAGGCTTTTCTTTTGAGAATCATTTCAGAGATCCTAAATGAACGAATTGAGGAGATACAAGTTTCCAGTGAGTTTGCATTGTGTGTTCTTGGAATATTTAAGAGATCAGTGAGGGTTGTTGATTTTGCCGCCAGATGCACGTCTAGTCTTCCTACAGGCTGTACATCCATTGATGTTATGGGATATTCACTCATCATTTTGAGAGATATCTGTGCTCGAGAAGGTGTAGGAGACGTGAAGAAGGATTCCTTAGATGTTGTTGATATGCTACTCTCCCATGAACTTATAGACATTCTTTTATTTTTACTTCATGATCTTGAGCCTCCAGCAATCATAAGAAAAGTCCTGAAGGAGGGTGACAACCAAGGACTGAATTTGTCTGCATCTAAGCTTTGCGCTTATAAAGGATTCCGGAGAGATATGATAGCAGTAATTGGGAATTGTGCCTATCGAAGGAAGCATGTACAGGATGAAATAAGGCAGAAAAATGGGATTCTACTGCTGTTACAGCAGTGTGTTACTGATGATGACAACCCATATCTGAGGGAATGGGGCATTTGGTCTTTGAGAAATTTATTAGAAGGGCATCCAGAAAACCAACAGGCGGTGGCTGATTTAGAGCTACAAGGGTCTGTTGACATGCCTGAACTTTCAAGACTTGGTCTTAGAGTAGAGCTTGATCAAAAGACTCGACGTGCAAAGCTAATAAATATCCCAGGAAGCTGTCCAAAGCTCGATGAGTAAGTTTACTTGTTTAAACCCCCCCAAAAAAGGTGCCATGTTACTTGAAGTTATTCGATTTGCACACTTTCTTGAGGAGCTGATCCAGGAAGGCAGAAAGCTTGACTATGCAATCTGATTTTGGTATGGTATGATTTTTAGATCGTGATAGTGAAAATTGTCCTTTCCCTCTATTTGTATGATATTTTGTTTTGGCTGATATTCTGGGTATTAAATTTTCTTACACAAACTTTTTGTCATTTTCCAAACATTTCATAGTTCTTAGTAAAGCTTATGATGCATTGACCTTTGATTAATCTTGCAAAATTCAATTTCTTCTGCGCTTTGTTAGAATTGTCTGTCTTTTTGGGAAAAAAATAAACTAGTTTTATGGAAAAAAGTAAAAGGAACTCCCTTATAAATATGGTGGATAATTGAACCCAACGTTTAATTGTTTTCTTTGGACTGTTTCACACTATTATTTTGATAAAAAGAGTTTACTTCACGTTGCCCTTTCCCCCCTTCTTCAGTTTTAAGTTATACACAACTGAAAATTAAGTGGATATTGCTCAGAAGTTGACAAAACTATTATTAGTTCATTGATTTCGTTCGTAGTATACCAGTATCCCAAACTAATGAGTTTTCTTAGTGAGTTTGGAGTTATAAAAGGGCTTTTGCATGTATGTATTTGAAATATTTGAATGGCGGTTTCTCCTATCATTGCCTAAATACAATTGCCACTATTGCTTAGTATTTCAACAGGAAATCTAAGGAATAGTGGAACTCAGATCATTTATTTCTTAGTGGGCAAAGTCTTTTCCTGCTGTAATGCGCTGTGGTATATGTTAAACTAATGAATTTTTTTTTTCTTTTTTTCACCTTATAAGTTTTGATGATGAATGTCCCCAGCTTATGATAGTGAAAGGTTTTTTTTGCTTTGATCAATCCGAAATGCATTCTTTGAACATAGACAACAAATTCTTTATACTAATAGCAATTTGATATAATCAAAGCATGAGGAGAAGGAAACTCGTAATCCTGTCAAATTAAATAGAAGAAAGCTTTTAGTTTATTTCACATTCAAACCAAATAAATAGATTCCAAAGTTGAAACACTTTGGATTGAAAGAGTAACTTGATCCTAATGTGAAATGAGACTGCCAGCAGATATAAGAATTAGCATCCTTTTCAATTTTATCTGTTTAAATGAAAGCATATGGAATGTAAATGTGATCAGGAATTAGTATTGATTTGTGAGAATTGAGCTTTTGCATTTGACAGCAATGTCTTAAGATCGGAACCAACATTGATTTGCATATAACCAAAACTTCAAACTGACAAAAAGGCAGAGTTGGCATGCAAACTAACTGTTACCCTGCAGGACAAGATACGCTACTAGTAAACTGCTGCTACCAAGTACCAAGCAGCTAGAAAACAACCTTGAGAAGAAGGAAAATGCAAGGTTGAAGCATACCAGAGGATTCATTTCAAGCTGGCATTACCAGAGGAAGCTTTCAAAGCTCTTAGGAGACTCTGGGTCTGATCATGGTATAACTTTGCAGCTTTCATGTTCAAATCTATTTGCTGAAGCTGCAATTCCTTCCACTGTTGATCCCATTCTTGCAGATTTTCCTCTTCCACCAGATCAAGTGCTTGTGTCAGAATGTCATCTCCTATTCCAACACGGGATGATATTTTGGCATGATACCTCAAGAGTTCATTGAAGCAAGTCTGCCCAGTGATAACCTCCTCATGCTCATGCTCCTTATCACCTTCATTCTCAGACTCAGCCTTTTGGCCCCAAATGCTGTGGCATAATTTCAGGACTTGCTCTTTATGTGAACCCACAATGACCTTCCCTCTGCTGGCAGCTTTCTCTTCTTTGTACATTTTGTGGAGCTTGTGTATTTTGTTTTTAAGTTGAACTTGGGAGAAATCAGGGCTCCCTTCAAGCCTCATGAACCCAAGAAAAGAATCTTTATTAGTTGCAGGATCAGACTTTTCTTCTTTCCAGAATCTGACCATCTCTTTCAAAACTGCCAGCTCTTCTTCTTCCTTCCATTGTTTTTTCTTCTTCTTCTTCTTGCTTTCTGCCTCTGTAGCTTGTGTGTCAATGGATTCTTTTTCAACATCATCTTCAGAATCAGGGACAAAATCTTCATCACAATTGGCCCTTTTCCTGGAAGACATTCTGGAAATGTGGTTTCAAGAGAATGGGAAAGAAGAAGAGTGAGGGTAGCCCAAGGGGTAAGGTAGATGAAGGATTTGAAGGGAAGCAGGCAGGTTAGCTTTATTGGGAGCGGCATTCATGATGAGGACTGCGTCAGGATGCATCTTCCCAAAGCAAACTCTTGGCAGTCTCTTCAACTTCTTGTATTTGCTTCTAACTTAATAATTAATGAATGCTGAGATTAGCTTTAAAAGCTTTGTATGGAATTCCATGATGGGATACTTTGATTTTCACTACACAATAAACCAGTTGTTGCAGGTTGAGGATTGAAGAAAGGAGATGCTCATGTGAAATCAAAATGTTAATGTGGAAGCTGAGTCTCAAACTAGCTTTATTTGGGAATAATGTTACTCTGCTTGAGAGAATTTATATCAATTATAGTGAACTAAATTAAGCAAACAAATGCAAAGAAAAACAATTGTTTAGAATTTCAGATTTAGATGAAAATCCGAAAAATCAAAATTTAGATATCTTTTTCCAATTTGTTGTAAAGATATTGGACAAATAAATTAAAAAAAAAATCAGTATTTTCCCTTCTTCCTGCATGATATAATGTCCATTACCACCTTTCCTTTGCAACTGTGAATGTAACAAAGCCTTTCTTGAAGGTCAATGTCAACACCTCTTTCAACCGGTAAATATGTAGTAACTAATATGCAGAACATCATATAAGAGCTATTCCCATATAATAGATCTGTATATACCATAATAATTGTGCCTCCAATTCCACAAAATACAGATCAAACTTCTTTGGAGGCAAATTGAAATAGTTCTACATATTTTATGCAACTAAAGTTTATACAAAAGAAACTCTAAGGCCTTATAACTGTACAATGCCCTATACTTAACCCAGTTGCATCCAGGAATGGCTCCACAAAGACGTTGATCAGTCATCAAGCATGTTTCCGGAGTTTGAGCCTAATCCTAAATCAAGCAATTAAAATACAAGTTACTTATTTCTGCATATCATCACTACAGAAGATTTGAAGAGCGCACAGCACATACTAAAAATATATAAGCATACAAATCTAAAAAATTCATGTCGAAAAAAAATTATTTGCACTAAGTGACAGATATTAACAGATAATGTCCACCCCACCCCACTCCACCAAAAAAACAATCAGTAATGGAGCAGTCAATACAAAATTAATAAGGAATATTTATGAAAAGCTATAACAAACTCAAGATCATGAATCAGCTGCAAAGTGATTCTGGCTCTTAAACATTATTCGTGCCATAAAATGACATGTTACACATCCCAAACCCACCCTAAGATAATTCAATATAAGGTTTCCCATTTACACTAGGCCGGTCGGAATTTTTGCAGAAGATATAGAGCAAGTGTCAAGCCAACTCCATGATACATACTAATTATTTGGTTTTGCAACAGCATACTAGCATCAAAAAACAAATAATAGCTAAATGTACTTAAAGTGACTCACTTTGCTTGAGGATCCAAATAATTAACAGTCTCACACATTGCATGCAGTATCATTTTCCTGACCTGTTTCAGATTAAGTAAAAAGAAAACATCATTCCAAGTGTCAAAACTCCCAACTTGTTTTAAAACATAAACAACCCTCATAAAAACTTCATGCAACTATGCGAAAATCCTAGCGGCTTGCTAAGGAGTGTCTCAATCTCAACCCCCAACTCCAATTGAAAACTACATTGCTGAACCAGGTGCAAAATAACGGTAGATGAAACCAATATTTGGAGTATTCAAAAGATCCATATACAACATATAGGGAGGGGAGCCATCCCCAATAGATAGAATTTTAACAGAGAAATCTAGAGACAACAAGGAAGCGTTAAGAGAGAAGTTAGTGTATAATGTCGGTTCGACCACCACATACGGATGAACAGGAGTGGACAACTAATTTTTGAGTACTCTATGAAACAATGATCTATGGAAATCTTAGTTTAGCAAGGGATGCACTCACAAACAGGTATGATGGCCAACGTAGCCTTTCTTCTAGGTTGGACATCAAATCAGAAAAAACACCCCTCTCCCCCTCTCCAGATGCAAAATAAACTAATTAAAAATAAAATAAAAAAAGTAGAAATTACAGCATCCAGTACTGCGCTTATTATCCACATACCTCCAGTTTGTCCTCTTTAGCTCTATGACCTTGTGGAAGTAATCGAAATTCTTCAGTCAAACGAACACATTCACCAGTATTCTCAGGTGAAACAAAGTCAAGAGCAACCTTTATGCATGACTAAAAGGCACAAACACAAAAGCATCAGAAATCAGACACATATGGCAAATACCATCTGTAGCAGTCATAGCTACAGCTCTAACTAAGCGGGCTTCAATGTTGTCCCTTGTCCAATATGGCCAATTTGCTGTACCACCATTTAGCAGACATACCCAAATTAATTACATGTTGCATGTGCATAGAATCTACAGATATAACTAAAAGTTAGAATTCATACATATCATACCTTAATGTTCCTGACTTGATGAGGACAGCCTGCAGGAATAAAAACAGCTTCCCCAAGCTTCTGTATGAATGTCCATGGCTCAATTCCTGCATGAAAGTATACAATATAAACATAAGAGATTGAAATATTTTTTCCAACTGGTGCGTAAATACTTGGTCAATTTAACTCACCATATTCCTCCTTCAGCTTTTTCTTATGTTCCAAAGTCAGAAATAATGTCTGATCATGTATAGGGTCGACAACCTGTGTTAGCAAATGAAGGAACAAAATGATAAGGCAATAATTTGAGTCTGCAAATGTAGTAAAGACTAATGTTTCTCTAAAATGATTTACAACATTAAAATTTAAGATTAACAGCATCTGATTGAGAAGTTCAATCTCCATACTTTAGTTGATGATTTCATTTACCCAGCTCAAGTAGGCAACAAGGATATGTAGGGGCCCACTTTTTACTCAAGTAAAATTACTTTAAATTCCATTCCCTTCATGGTGCTCAAAGATAACATGTGAAACATTATGTAGTCTTGGCTCGCACTATATATACATTTCTGCACTGCAGATTTGATGTAAGTTCATTGGGCAGAAAAAGAGGGGAAAATATAAACTGAAGACAACTAAGTACATAGCCCAATCC